AGATACGGTTGGTGACAATATGAAAATTGTGAGAAAATTTTCGATAAAATATTCCTACTCCAACACAGTATAGGAAACTCCTGAGCTCAGGTGCTGAGGAAAGCGATTACATATATTCCTACTCCAACACTGTATAGGAAACTCCTGAGCTCAGGTGCTGAGGAAAGCGATTACATATATTCCTACTCCAACACTGTATAGGAAACTCCTGAGCTCAGGTGCTGAGGAAAGCGATTACATATATTCCTACTCCAACACTGTATAGGAAACTCCTGAGCTCAGGTGCTGAGGAAAGCGATTACATATATTCCTACTCCAACACTGTATAGGAAACTCCTGAGCTCAGGTGCTGAGGAAAGCGATTACATATATTCCTACTCCAACACTGTATAGGAAACTCCTGAGCTCAGGTGCTGAGGAAAGCGATTACATATATTCCTACTCCAACACTGTATAGGAAACTCCTGAGCTCAGGTGCTGAGGAAAGCGATTACATATATTCCTACTCCAACACTGTATAGAAAACTCCTGAGCTCAGGTGATGAGGAAAGCGATTACGAAGCGAAGCGAACTGAGCACATACCGCAACAACAGACACTTTCGCGTGCGTGCGTGCAGAGTTATTCTGACTTAACTACGAAGCGTAGGAGGAGGCCACCAGATGGATCAAACAACTCCACGTTTTACGTGAAGTGGCGTCGTAATACTCCATGTGAAAAACGCGATATTCGCGGTGATGCAGCAAATCGAAAATACTTCGCGAAAATACTTATGAGACCAAAAAAACGCACCGCATTTCACTTGTTTTACGCGTTATTCACTGCTAACGTGCGTTTTTCGCGAGGTGAAATGTAAAATATGTTTTTCACTAGTGTTTTTCATATCACTAGGGTGGTGAAACTCTACTGGTAAATGGGTAACCTGTGAAGAAAAATCGCTGGAAAAAATGAAAAAAAAATACAAAAAAATACGAGAAAACTTCGCTTCGCTTACTGTGGGCTTGTTTCCATCTCTTCAAAATGTCCAGTAATTTCAAATTGTGGTAAAACGAATAACATCGCCAATACCAACAATATAACCTAAAATTGAGGAAAAAAATAGAAAAAAATTCGTAAAAATTTCACAACCCGTTTTACGTGAAGTGGTGAAAAACGCGATTCTATTCGCGGTGATATGCAGTAGTCGTGAAATATACTTTTCACTAGTGTTTTTCATATCACTAAAACCACATTATAAAACTTACTTTTCTGGTTGTCAACTCCGACAGTTTTTTTCCAACTCGGCTTTCATCTCGGAAATTTTCATCTCCTTTTTCCTCAACGGACGACAGATCGCTTTGAGTACTGGTTCTTTTTTTATCATTTTTTTCCAAAATTTCCATTTTTTTCTCCTCTTTTTTCCTCCCCAGTGCAACCTTGTATAGTTTTACTATTCTTAATAATCGTATTAGTCGTATCATCCTCACTACTCGAGCAGCCCTACTCCCCGCTCGGCTGGCACGACCGACGCGTGTCACACCCGTGTCACCACTATTTTCGAAAAAATTTTCCGCAAAAAAAGTTAAATCAAGTAACAGCGATGCAGTTGATAGTAGATCAAGAAAGAAAAAAAATGACCATAAATATCCTTTTTTTCCAATCGAAGCTGCGGTAATCTGAAATTGTGGAAAAATTTGGGTAAAAAAATTTGCGAAATTTCCTTACCTCAATGGTGAAAATAAATAACGAAATTGTTGTAAAAATATCAAAAATATTATCCGCTGATTGTGAAGTGGAACTCACACGAATGTCGTCGCCAAACAAAGCGTATATCGTGGTTACCGCGGTGACAAATCTGAGAGAAAAATTTACCAAAAAAATTTTTTCCCCAAAAAAAAACTTACGAGAAAAATGTATTTTCAACTAGCTTACCACACCAATACTTAATCGTTGTCTTCAGTGGCGGTCGATCGCGTAATAAACCCAATAGACGCTTCGTCTTTTTCGATGAACTGATAAGAATAATAATCAAAAGTGTGGTATCAATTTAAAAAAATTTGCCATTTTTTCGGCAAAAAGTGAGAATTTTCCGAAAAATACAGAATTTATCTACTCAATACCAAAATCGCCTGATGATAATAACTGGAGTTATGGTATCGATTTCAGTACAGCATTTTTCGAGCGAAATTTTTTTAATATTTTCCGCAAAAATGGAAAAGATGCTACAAAAAATTTTTTCCACTCGAAATTTACTAAGTACCAGAATCGCTGTATTTTACAAGCGAATTTTTTTTAATATTTTCCGCAAAAATGGGAAAATTTTACCGCAAATTTTTTTGTCTAAAAAATTTACTCAACACCAAAATTGATTTCTTACCTTATATTGCTCTCATCATCAACTTTATTATTAATCTCATTAATGTTATCCGTAGCTTCTGTGGAAGAATTGATTTTTGAAGGGGTCCTTGGCGACGGCGCGAAGATGGTGAAGAGGAAAAAATTTTACTTTTTGCGATGATTTACGGAATTTCCCGAAATCGGAATAATTTTTTACCGAAAAATTATATTTTTCTACCCAATTGAGGTTAATGTTTGATCTTTTCCTCAGAATACTATATGAAATATATAAATAAAAAATATATAGGCCAGTTTTACGTGAAGTGGCGTCGTAATACTCCACGCGATATGAAGTTAATTAAAAACACTTCGCGAATTTTACCGGTTATTCAGCAGTTAATCAAAAAAAACCGCGAGCAGTCAGCGTTTGACACTATTCATATCACTAGAGTGATTGAGAATTTCGCTAAGTATAACACTGGAGTTTCACCACCCTAGTGAAAAATATATTTCACGAACACTGCATATCACCGCGAATAAAATCATGTTTTTCACCACTTCACGTAAAACGGGTAGTCGTGAAAC